GAGCAGGGAGCCCGATGTGGGACTCGATCCCGGGACTCCAGGATCATGACCCGAGCCGAAGGCAGTCACTTAACCAACTGAGCCACCCAGGCGCCCTCCCGCTCTGGTTTGACTGTTCATTCTTTTTATGGTGTCTTGGGACAAAAAGAAATCCTTAATTTTAATGTAGTCAGATTTATTAATCTTTTCCTTTTTTAAATATTTTATTTATTTGTCAGAGAGAGAGAGAGCACTCGATCCCAGGACCCTGGGATCATGACCTGAGCCGAAGGCAGATGCTTAACAACTGAGCCACCCAGGCGCCCCTATTTATCGTTTCCTTTCCATTGCTCCCACATTTGGGTCATTTGTTGTTCCTGCATGGGTTTTTGAAGGAGTCGGTCCTGTCCCCACTGTTCTGAGTGTCCTTTCTGCCATGTAGCTAGTGTCAATATTTGTGGATCTGTTCTCAAGCTCTGTTCAATCCTATTACTTCCTTCTGCTGGACTGAATCTACTGTTCAACTGGCCCACTTAATTTTTTTTGAAAGATTTCACTTTTAAGTAATCTCTACATCTAACGTAGGGCTGGATCAGGGCTGGATCTCACAACCTAGAGATCCAGTCACAGGCTCCACCCACTGAACCAGCCAGGAGCCCCTTGCCTTTTTCTTTTTTTTTTAAAGATGTTTTTTATTTATTTGACAGGGACAGACACAGCGAGAGCTGGAACACAAGCAGGGGGAGTGGGAGAGGGAGAAGCAGGCTTCCCTGCCGAGCAGGGAGCCCGACGCGGGGCTCGATCCCAGGACTCGGGGATCATGACCTGAGCCGAAGGCAGACGCTTAACGACTCAGCCACCCAGGCGCCCCGCCCCTTGCCTTTTTCATTTTGAATTTCACTTAAAATATATTTGTAGATGTTCTAGGTGTTTCTTTTTCAAATCTTCATAGTCATTTTTATGGTCTTTTGTTCCTTACTCATACTTCTGATACCGGTTTTTATTTCTTTAAACTTTCTGAAATTGCTTTAAAACTGTCTGAGTTGAAAATTAATCATTGGGTAATTTATTCTACAGAAAGATTTACACACATGCCAAATGATATATGAACAAGATTATACATCCCAACATTACAAGAATAGCAAAAGATTGGGGGTGGGGGTGCCTGGCTGGCTCAGTCACTGGAGCGCCAGGTTCTTTTTCTTTTTCTTTTTTTTATTGTTATATTAATCACCATACATTACATCATTAGTTTTTGATGTAGTGTTCCATGATTCATTGCTTGTGCATAAAACCCAGTGCTCCACGCAGAACGTGCCCTCTTTAATACCCATCACCAGGCTAACCCATCCCCCCACCCCC